AAAAGCTGACCAAACAGACCCCGCTCATTTGCCCTCGCCATTGAAGGCAAATGAGCGGCCCTCTCCGGAGAGCTGATTTCTGAGGCAAAACTGAAAAAAACGGACCCCTTATCATTGACGCAAATGAGCGGGCCTCTCCGAGGTGCTGATTTCTGCCCGTGGCACAGTAAAAAACTCGACAAACGGACCCCGCTCATTTGCCCTCACCGGTGACAGCACATGAGTGCCCGTGGCACAGTAAAAGCTGACCAAACAGACCCCGCTCATTTGCCCTCGCCATTGAGGGCAAATGAGCGGCCCTCTTCGGAGAGCTGATTTCTGAGGCAAAACTGAAAAACACACGCACCCCGCTCATTTGCCCTTATCATTGACGCAAATGACGGGCCGACCCCGCTCATATGAGGGCAAATGAGCGGGCCTCTCCGGCGTGCTGATTTTCTGCCCGTGGCACAGTAAAAGCTGACCAAACGGACCCCGCTCATTTGCCCTCACCGGTAACAGCACATGAGCGGCCTCTCCAGCATCCTGATTTCACGATATAAACTTAATGAACAGACCCCGCTCATTTGCCCTCACCGGTGAAGGCCAATGAGCGGGCCTCTTCGGCGCGCTGATTTTCTGCACGTGGCACAGTAAAAGCTGACCAAACGGACCCCGCTCATTTGCCCTCGCAAGTGAGCGGCCCTCTCCGGAGAGCTGATTTCTGCCCGAGGCGCGGTAAAAACTGCACACGCACCCCGCTCCTTTGCCCTCACCGGTGAGGGTAAACACGATAAAAACTGAGCAAACAGACCCCGCTCATTTGCCCTCACCGGTGAGGGCAAATGAGCGGGCCTCTCCGAGGTGCTGATTTCTGCCCGTGGCACAGTAAAAGCTGACCAAACAGACCCCGCTCATTTGCCCTCACCGGTAACAGCACATGAGCGGCCTCTCCAGCATCCTGATTTCACGATATAAGCTTAATGAAGAGACCCCGCTCATTTGCCCTCACCGGTGAAGGCCAATCCTCTTCGGCGCGCTGATTTTCTGCCCGTGGCACAGTAAAAGCTGACCAAACGGACCCCGCTCATTTGCCCTCGCCATGGAGGGCAAATGAGCGGCCTTTTCCGGAGAGCTGATTTCTGCCCGAGGCGCGGTAAAAACTGCACACGCACCCCGTTTCTTTGCCCTCACCGGTGAGGGTAAATGAGCGGGGAACTTATTTCTGCCCGAGGCACGGTGAAAACTGAACAAAGGGACCCCGCCCATTTGCCCTCACCATTGACGCCAATGAGCAGGCCTCTCCGAGGTGCTGGTTTCTGCCCGTGGCACGGTAAAAAAACTCAACAAACAGACCCCGCTCATTTGCCCTCACCGGTGAAGGCAAATAAGCGACCCTCTCCGGGGTGCTGATTTCTGCCCAGGGCAGAAGAAAAACTGAGCAAACAAACCCCGCTCATTTGCCCTCACCGGTGAGGGCAAATGAGCGGGCCTCTCCGGCGTGCTGATTTTCTGCCCTTGGCACAGTAAAAACTGACCAAACAGACCGCGCTCATTTGCCCTCGCCATTGAGGGCAAATGAGCGGCCCTCTCCGGAGAGCTGATTTCTGAGGCAAAACTGAAAAAAACGCACCCCGCTCATTTGCCCTTATCATTGACGCAAATGAGCGGGCCTTTCCGAGGTGCTGATTTCTGCCCGTGGCACGGTAAAAAAACTCGACGAACGAACCCTGTTCATTTGCCCTCACCGGTGACATGAGCGGCCTCTCCAGCGTCCTGATTTCACGATAAAAACTTAATAAACAGACCCCGCAACGGTGAGGTATGAGCGGGCCTCTCCAGATCCAGAGAGCTGATTTTTGCCCGAGGCACAGAAAAAACTCAACAAACGCACCCCACTCATCTGCCCTCATCATTGACAGCATTTCTGCCCGTCTCCAGCGTGCTGATTTCGGCCCGAGGCACGATAAAAACTCAACAAACAGACCCCGCTCATTTCGAGCTCCTAGCGCAGATCCCCAGGACCAGCCGGGAGGCCTTTGGGACAGACCAGTCTGTCCGGGGCGTCCGAGCTGTCCGATCAGCCTGATCTGCGCGCGCTGTCCGACCAGTCCGCGCCGTCCGCGCTGTCCGTCCGTCCGAGGCGTCCAAACCCAAGCTCCGAGCAGTCCGTCCGCACCGACCCGTCCGCGCTGTCCGACCAGTCCGATCCGTCCGCGCCGTCCGCGGTCCGAGACGTCCGAGCCCAAGCTCCGAGCAGTCCGTCCACACCGGCCGACCCGTCCGTGCTGTCCGACCAGTCCGAGCTGTCCGAGCTGCCCCGACCCGTCCGCACACCGAGCTGTCCGAGCCTGTCTGCGCAGTCCATCCGAGGCGTCCGAAGCTCCTTTCAAAAGTCAATCCTTAGACGCTCACACAAAGTCCGACGAGGCGTCCGAGTTTGCGCTGTCCGACCAGTCCGTGCTAAACGGGCCGTCTGCCCGGTCCGTCCAGTCCGATCTGTCCGAGCTGTCCGACCAGTCCGATCTGTCCGTCCTACACGGCCGAGCCATCCGACCAGTCCGTCCCATCCGATGTCTGAGCCTTCTGCCCAGTCCGATCTGTCTGAGCGGGCCTCTCTGGCGTGCTGATTTCTGCCCGAGGCACGGCAAAAAGAGAACAAATGGACCCCGCTCATTTCCCTTCAATGGTGAAAGCAAATGAGCGGGCCTGTCCAGCGTGCTGATTTCTGCCCGAGACACGGTAAAAACTCGACAAACGGACCCCCTCCGCGGCGAGGGTAAATGAGCGGAACTCTTCGCACGTGACCCCGTTCATTTGCCCTCACCGGTGAGAGCAAATGAGGGGGCCTCTCCAAGGTGCTGATTTCTGCCCGGGGCACGATAAAAAACTGAGCGAACGGACCCCGCTCATTTGCCCTCCCCGGTGAGGGCAAATGAGCAGGCCTCTCCAGCGTGCTGATTTCTGCCCGAGGCACGGTAAGAACTCAACACAGGGGTTTACCCTCACCAATAAAAGCACATGAGCGGGCCTCTCCAGCGTGCTGATTTCTGCCCGAGGGACGGTAAAAACTAAACAAACGAACCCCGCTCATTTGCCCTCACCGGTGAGGGTAAATGAGCGGGCCTCTGCGGGGAACTGATTTCTGCCCGAGGCACGGTAAAAACTGAACAAACGAACCCCGCTCATTTGCCCTCACCATTGACGGCAAATGAGCAGGCCCTGCGAGGAACTGATTTCTGCCCGACACGGTGAAAAAACTCAACAAACGGACCCCGCTCATTTGCCCTCCCCGGTCGAGGCAAATGAGCAGGCCCTGCGGAGAACTGATTTCTGCCCGAGGCACATAAAAAACTGAACAAGCAGACCCCACTCATTTGCCCTCACTGGTGAAGGCAAATGAGCGAGCCTTTCGCGGGAGCTGATTTCTGCCCGTCACCAGTGGGAACAAACAAGAGCGCCTCTTGAACGTGCTGATTTCTGCCCGAGGCACGTCAAAAACTAAACAAACGGACCCCGTTCATTTGCCCTCGGCGGGGGAGGGCAGACAAGCGGGCGTCTCCGGGGCGCTCATTTAGGGGAGCCAGCTGAACCCCGCTCAGTTGCCCTCACCTTGAAGAGCAACGAGCGTGCCTCTCCAGGACGCGCCGCCTTCATCTGCCCCATCAATTCGATCTGTGCGATCCGCACGACCCGCCGCGCGAACCGTGCGAGCTGCGCGAGCCGTCGGAGCCGTCCGAGCTGTCTGTCCAATCCGTCGGAGCTGTCCGGCCCGTCCAAACCGACCAGGCTCTCCGCGCCGTGCGCGCCCTCCAAGCTTTTCAACTGCGCAGACCGTCAAAATCATACAAGTCGTTCAACCCGTCTGAGTCGTCCGAGCCGTCACTCCGTCCAATCAGGCCGATCCGTCCGAGGCGTCAATCCGTCTGATCAGTCCGAGCCGTCCGAGCTGTCCGATCTGTCCGATCCGTCCGAGCAGTCCGATCCGCCCGATCCGTGCATCTGATCTGACCGCGACATCCGAGCCGTCCGATGAGTCCGCCCCATCGACCCAATCAATCCGATATGTCCGATCCGTCCGACCCGCGCGAGCCATCGGGGCCGTCCGATCCGTCCGAGCTGTCCGCGCGGCGCAACCGAGCTGCCCGATCCGTCCGCTGCATCTGAGCCGCCCAAGCCGTCCGAGCTGCCGTCAACGTCATCCGATCCAACCGAGCCGTGAGCCGCCCAAGCTGTCCGATCGGCTTGATGCGTCCGAGCCGCCCGTGCCGTCCGATCTGTCCGACCTGTGCGAGGAGTCCAAGCCCTACAGCAGTCCGAGCTTTTGATCTGCCCCAGCCCTCGGAGAGCCGTCCAAGCCATCCGGCATGTGCGTGCGCGCTCGTCCGTTCGGCACGTCCGTGTCGTCCGATCCGTCCGAGAAGTCCGATTGGGCCGGACACGCAACGAACCACTAAGCAAAACACGTCATTCGCCGCATGGACGCCAAGCGTCCAAGGCACGGGGGGGGGGGGGTTGGAGGGGGCAGCAGCCCCCCCCCATCACGTCTACACTGCTAACGCAACCAAGAAGGGACGCGCCTCTTCCCTCATGTTCGCATCTGTGATGTTCATGTTGTTGGCAAATATGCCAACGACCCCATTCACCCGCGCACTTGCCCAAGCAGTCACTGACCTGCTCATTGACTGACAACGAAGCAACCAACCAACCAACCAACCAACCAGCCAACCAGCCAGACTGCCAGCCAGGCAACCAACCGCCCAACCAACCAGCCAGCCAGCCAGCCGACCAACGGACCAATCAACCAACCAACCAACCGACCGACCGACCGACCGACCGCCGACCAACCGACCACCAGACCTAAAAAAAAGAAACAGACCAAAAAAAACTACGTCGAAGGAAAGTCACATGCACAAAGAAGAAAAAGGAAAAACAGATGTGGTGTGTATGGCTGATCTCGTGTAAACAGATCGCACGTCAAAATGTCAGCGTCTCTATCGGGGTCGATCTTCAATCCGCACCTCGCCCGCTCTGGGCCCGGACCTGAGACGGGAGGAAAGCAGGAAGAAATAAAGAGACACGGCATTGTGAGAAAGCACATGGGTATGGGTCAAAATTAAACCATCAGGGGACCACAGATTTGAATCTTTTTTTCCATTTACCGGGGTTCCCTTCTGGGTACCTATTTTTGATCCACACCCACATGAGGACACACGAAAAGGAAGGAGAGAAAAGGAAAGGAAAGCCCAGGAAGAAATGAAAGCGCAGTGGAACCGGGAAAGGCTGAATGTCAGTCATCAAGATTTGGACTGGTCGCTGAGTGGCTTGCCGACCTCGTCAACCAAACAGGTACATTGCTGGGAGTTGCCAATGCAAGCATTCAAAGTGCCAGTGAATGCCACTCTGGAATAAATGTGCTAGCTGGCCTGCAAATCCCATCTGAGAGCCAAGCAAATACAGCGGTCCACCCCAACATTGCACCATGTACTGCAGAAGCTGTAACAGTTGATCCCATAGCTATGGCTGTTCAGAAGGCCCCTTCGAGCCATGCTCAGCCAAACCCAAACCCAAACCGCCATAGGGCGACAGAGTTCCTTGCTGACCCTGCATTCCGAGCATGGAAGACCTTCGCAGCTAAACAAGTTGATGCTCAGACTGGTGAGAACAAGTTTGCTTCAAGGGTCCAAACATGTCAACGACCGGCGGGCCTCTTGATGGGTGTCCGGGACGCTCGACTCGGGCCTCGGCTCGAAGCCCATGTTTCCCCAACAGCCCTAACAGAATTGAGGGAAGGCGCTGCAGTCGTGACTGTCCTGTGCAAAGAACTTGGTGTCCCTCGTTGCGTTCTTGCCCGGACTGTGACAGAGCAATGGGAAGGCAGGCACTACATAGAACTCATCTTGGGCCCTAGTGCCCACTTATGAAGCTTGCTCAAAACAAGTACCACGGCAAACAGCTACAGCACGCGAGCCAGATCAGCTCACATGGGCCTCATTTAAAGGCTTCCCTGCGACTTTCGAGGGAAGCCGAAAAGTATTTCAAAGTTCAAGGACCTTATTGGACCCTGGCATTCCACAAGAGATGGGCCAACAGAACAAAGGCAGCGACTGCTTCCTAGATGCACGCTGGACCCATCCAAAGAACCAGTTGACACGGATCTGCGCAAAAGCACATGAAAAGGCTGAAAAGGTGTTGATCTTCTCAATCGCAGAGACCTAGCAAGAACAAAACACAATCTTCCCAGGAAATCAACTCGTCCAGGTCTCCTAGGCAAATCGGGGTGTATGGCAGCTGGTTGACTCGTCCCCTGCGGCTTCACTCACAGAACGCAAAGATGGGTCCGAACCGAGAAGATGCCTCTGGGAATGGGGTAAGAGTTTGGATTCCATTGACTGGTGCGATTTCTCGCTAAACCAGTACCTTCCAAGAAGGTCGAACTTGCTTTCCAAGGTTCTTACAAGGACCAAAAACAACAGCTTGACTTTAGCCACGCCTCAAACGAATGTCAGGGGTGTCCTCAACAGGGGGGGCTCCTTTGAAGACCCCGTGTTGCTCTCCCCTCGGAGGCCATCGCCTTGTTCAACCCCAGACCACTCAACGGCCAACCTCGGTATTTGAGACGCAAAGCATCAAGTGAATTGTAGGCCCCATGGCTTTCACTGTAACAGCTTCAAAACCATTGGTCACGAACATCGGACTTTTTCTGGCCTTCCCCTTGACCACAACGCCCGATGAATCACTACAGGCTAGGAGTGGTTGATGCTAACCCCCAGGATCACCAGCACTTTGCAGGAGCCCAGTTGCGGCTTTGCTGCGCTTTGATTCCTTGGGTTCCAACATCCCCCAAGGAGGCAGTGCGGGGGTTGGGTCAATGCTCCCCTTCCACGACCCCCCCCCCCAAATGTAAACTGTGACCGCGTTTTTAAGGTCTATTTGGTTCGAAGTACAATGGCACTGGCTTCACGTTGTGTGTGTGTGTTTTTGTTGAGGCCGATTTTTGGGGAGTTTTAAACGGAAAGCAAAAAAAAAAAGAGCGACTCGTTTGGTTCTGATCACTACCCAGTGCTATGAGCATCATGCGTAAGGGGCCCGGGCCACACACCCCGGCCCCTTCGCCAGGGGCTCCCGCTGGAGCGTAGGGAGGCGCGCTCCCACTCCATCCTGCTGATCTCCGCAACCCAAACCGAAAGGAAAACAAAAAGAGGCGCTTGAGTCAAAATGACGCTCAGTCTTGCCTTCATCATTCACTGGCGTGCACGTGCTTCATTTACTCAAGTTCAGTCGCCCCAGGAAAAGCACACAGCCACAGGACACAAGTTGAGGCGACGCGTTTGAGCCCCTTCATATCTTTTAATTCAGGGGATCCCGCCGAAAATGAGCTAAGATGGATCTGTCCTCAGTTCAAGCCCCCCTACCGGTTGTTGCGGGTCCCAACTCGAACCTTCTGCGTTTTTCTTGGCAGCCTTACCATCCTTGTTGTTTTTTTGTTCCCCACCGGCGGGGGGGGGGGGGGTTAAACGCACCTCACATGTCTGGGTTGGGATTGAACCATCAGGCCTCGAAACAAACATCCTTAAACAATACATCTTTGTCATCCACGAGGGATGGATGTAAAATCTGCAGACCCAAAAAGGAATGCTCCAGCTATCAGGGTTGAGCCGATTTCGACCCTCGATTCGATCGAACGAGAGCACCATGTCTCAGGATTGAGATCTGAATCGCATGGAAAAAGAAACACCTCTGCCCTGCGATATCTTGGTCAAGAGCCTTCCGCTGTTTGTTGCTCCCAAAAGCCATTGACTTTCGGTTCCACCAAAGTCATCTAAACAATTGAAGGGCGGCCGCACCTGTTTGCCAAAGAAAGGAAAAGAAACAAGGACGGAAAGACAAAACCCGTGTCCCGCACTCACCGTTCTTTGGGGATTCTTTTCGTGCCCATGCCGATTCTCCAGATCCCAGCCGGCCGGACAGGTCTCTCCTGGGCTACCGCACGGCCATGCCACCTCGAAGGCAAGGTCGTGCCGGAAGCTGACGATCGAAGGATTTGAGAAGACTACTTTGGGGAAGCCCTCTGTCTGCCATGATCTTTGGACAACGGAAAAATACCTGCACGAATATACGCAAATTAGAGAATCCTTTGGTTTTTGTGGTTGATTTAGAGAGAGGGTGAGAGAGGCGGACAGCTCTTGCGTCAAAAAGTTGGTAGACGTTCAAAAGAGTCGGACAGCCATTGGCCTCAAAATGAGTCGGGTCAACAAACTCATTCTTGCTGCCTTTGAAGGCAAACATAATAAGCGCTCGGTTTCAAGAGAGATACACAGAGTACTAGGGAGCATTTCAGATCCCCAAAGCCTCAGTCAAGGACCCCTTGATTTGTTGGTGCCTCACTGGCACAAGATAGTGTGCGTGCGAACGTGTCCTCTGATGTGTGTGTGTGTGTGCTTGGATGATGCTTCCATGATTGGCAACCATGCAGTGTGTCCTTGATAGATGTTGCGACATCCAGGAGTAAAATTCATCGATGCACAGGCAGGTGGCCCCAGGTGGCCATTGAAACTTGCACAAACGGCGTCATCCAACCCGCAAATCATGCAACCGTTGCCCCGCTGGTGTGCAGGACTGATTTCCGAAGAGCTGGGCTTGTGTACCAATCCATGTTTGTTTGCCAGAGGTTTTCTCAGGTCGTTGATGCTGCATCTGTCTCGTCTGGATAGCCCAGTCCTTCCAATAGAGCAATCAATTGACAAGCTTCTTGACAAAGCTCGGCCTTGCATCCAACCATTTATCTTGCAGCTGCAAAATTGTTGCAAGAATCTTTGTTTGGGAGTGAAATCTGTGCAGCTTCCAAACAAAGCTTGCACGCCAACAAATTGAGCTTGCACCGAGTAAGAAAGGAAACCATCTGATGCTTGACACCGAAATGATATGTCGGGTCCATGCCTGGGTGTGGATACGTGTCAAATGACCAAGGGTCTCATCCAAACATCCAAATGGCATTGGCTTTTGAAATTGACTCCTGGAAGAGTACCTGGTTTGACTCATGGTTGTGTGATCGTTGCCAGCGTGTTTATGAGAGCATATTTTCTCTTCACATCTTGAGCAAGTGTTGATGGCCGAGGTTCTATGCATTGCGCTGCTTCAAATCTCCATGTGATGTCGCTTAGGGCGGGCTTGCTCGTCTGTGTCCCTCTTCACAACATATGGCTGTGTGTTGTTTAGGGGACCCCACAAAATGGTGGTGTTCCGTTTGGTGTCCCTTTCAAGCCACCAAAAAGAGAGGGAACCCTCAAGACGGATCCATATAGACGCTTCCGAGCTATGCCAAAGAACAGAGCCGAGCTGAGCCGCCAAGCTGGCCCCTCGGCCCCGGGCGAACAGACTCAACCGGTCGCCTGACGCTACCTCTACGTTCATCCAGTCTACGCACGGCGACCAGCGTTAACATGAACTCGTCGTTCAAAAGGTGGGGTCGCACACAA